CGACAAGGATTAATGACACATCTGTATAGCATTATAGAATAGAAATCCTTACATCTTTCATGAAAAAAAAAATTCTTCATAACTAAACATCCCTACTATTGAATTTATACAAATTGTATAATACAATAGGACTTATATAGTCAATAAAGTTCACATAAATCCAATGATAAAAAATTCATTGAAAAATAGTAAGTTGTAAAGATATTTATTAATGGTTGATTATATAATAAGTATTTAAAGTTTTCTAAATTCAATCAATAATTAAATATTCAATATCAATAATTAAAGAAGATATTAGAACAAGCTGATTCCCTTCAAGTATTGTACCCCTAGATATGGAGGAGGCAAAAATATTGGAGCTGCGTGTCTAATTAAAACTCCACGATATTTTTGTTCGACCGTCACACAAACCGATGGAGCCGCCCCCTACGCCGCCTTCAAGATTGTATTTTAGTTACAAAGTCTTTGTAGCTGATAATTATGTAAGTGATAGGTCTTTTGACGCAAACAATGAAAAATAATAAATAAACATATTATCCGCTTAATTTTTTTAAGCAAAATGCCAAAATATTTATCTATTTAATACGAATAAATTGTGCACGACAAATATGTGTGTAAAAGTTTACATAATTCAAGACAGTTATTTTGACAATAAGTGTTCAAGTCACACATATTCCATAGCACATATTTTGCAGAGCAGCATGATACGTAATAAGTGCGTCGATTTTTACATTGTAATTAGTAAATTAATAAATAATTTGTCAAAATTTAATTTTTTTTTGCATTGTAATGGTAAAAAAACCCAGTCTTCAAACAAAACTAAAGGATCAACCGAGCTCATATTACATAATCAGGACTAGCATGTGTTACCTTTCCAGTTTTGGCCCTACCGACTAACTAATTTCATATATAATGGATCTTTAAGCGCAACTGCAAGTAGATTTTTTTTAAGGTATATTTCTTTTTGTGACCAATTTTATAATAATAATAATTAAAGTTTCTCGTTGTCATCTTGAGTTATATTCATGCGATTTTTTATCAGCATTTAAAGTTAAAAACAATGTTTGTTTTTACAAAGTTTTCGATATTGCAAAAGAAAATCTCTTTTCGAGCTCTATACAACAGGTCAAATTAATTTAATCCCTCATGTTCCTTACATCATTAATTCCATTTACAGTATATATTTAAGGAAGTATATGTCTCTTATCCCTTATATTTAATCACTCATACAATGAATAGGGTTGCTTCCAAGACTCATGTTTATTTAAAGCTTAATATTTTATCACTGCAAATAAGAAAAGGAATTAAAACAACATTTTAATAATAATAAAATACTGACATATATACCAAAAAATTACTCATAACAGAAGATGGGAAAACACTACTTCTACTCCCATAAAATTCTAATAACAAAAATAAGACAGTAAAATAGACAAAAAAATAAATAAATAAATAATAGGAATAACTCTTCTTTCTTAATTTTTCTCTAAATAAGTTTTTTTTCTGAATATTTAATAAAGAATTTTTATTTTTATTTTTTGGTAAGCAAAGAAAATTTATTTAGAGCATGATTAACATCCGGATACAAAATTAATTAATTATCTTTATTAAAAAAAATCTAATATAAAACTATTAAAGTGACATTCACCTACCATAATCACCCGACTCTGTGATTAAGTGGTCACGAATTTAATTCACACTCCTCCATATTCTTCGAATTATAAATTTTTAATTATGAAATTTTTAACACTAAACTAATCTTCACTTAATAGTTTAGATTTTCAGGTGAGATGATTATTTAATAATCTTTATGTTTAATATATATTATATTTATGTTTAGTATAATGAGATGTGATTTTCACTTCCTTATTTTTATTTCTAATAAAATTAATAAAATTTGCGTAAACCCTTTTTAATGTCTCTCATTTTTTCATTTTATCTGGCTATCTTTGTCCAGGTCCAAACCAGTTTCCGTGGGTTTTGTAACTTCTTAATAAGAAAATATTTATCTTCAGATTTGGTTTCTCAGGTTCTCACCCCCCACGGCCAAGGAAAACAAAAATACATGATTAATCAAATAATTTCATTTTTTATTCCAACGACAAGGTAATAACCAATACATCAGTTCATGTCAGGCCTAGCATTTTAATAATCTTTCGTCATATCACAATTAATGTTATGGTAATTAATTAATTAAGTACCTAAGAAAAATAGTTTTATTATCATAAACAACCACTTGCGTACGTACACGTGCAAGGCAAGCTTGTGATTGCTTACTCGTGAAAGCGAAAGAATCGGAGCAATCAACATTTATATTTTCTTTCTTGGTTTCAAAACAATTTAATCATTCAGCAAAGGAAGTAGAATATCTGCATAGATATTGAGACCCTTTATTTTTTTACGTCGCTTTAGTGTTTTTAAAAAAAAAAACTAAAATAAGGCTTTTTATGCAATTATAAAACAAATACATGAACAATATGAGAGATCCCCGTCAAATCAATGATTAAGATTGAAAGTGTAACTTACATTGATGTAAAATGACCCTGACCCTAAACATATATAGGATCACGATCATTCTACACTCGATTTTCATGCATCGAACGGTTATAATTTAAGAAGTCATACAGATTAATTAATTAATAATTAATTACACTACAAATATCATCCAATGATTTTTGTTCATCAACGGTTAAGATGCGGTGTAAGACTTATTAGTCTTACACTGGTATAAAAAGAACCTGTCATATATATCTTTTGACTTTAGTGTGTAAGATTACGAAATCTTACTATTTATTTCAGCCGTTGACTTATGTTCATCTAACAATTATAATTTATTTAAAATTAATAATTAATTATTTAATATAACTCAATAAAATATAATCATTAAATAAAAAAAATTAACAGTCAAGATTAATAATAAGACTTCTTAATATTCCTCCTCATATATAATATCTGCCAATTTTGACTTATTTATTTTAGTTAAATAGTAGTATTCCGCTATAGCATATAGTTCAACATGAAAGCAAAAGAACAGAACAGTGCGTAAAGCGGTGGTAGAAATAATTTTACCTTATATATATATATATATATATATATATATATATATATATATATATATATATATATATATATATAGAAAGTTATATTTACAAATTTTTTATTTACAAACTACACTATGTACTTCCAGAAGTACACTATGTTACACTATATACTTCTCGGAGTACATAGTATAATTTGTAAAAGTTTAAAAAAAAAAATTGTAAATGAACTTTTTCTTTTATATATATATATATATATATATATATATATATATATATAGAGAGAGAGAGAAATCTTTTGACTTCAGCGTATAGGACTACGAAATCTTATTCATCATCTCAAGTGTTTATTTATGTTCATTTAATGGCTATAATTTAATTGAAATTAATAATCATTAAGTAAACAGAAATTAACGAGATAAATAATAAGACTTCTTAATATTCCTCCTTATATATATATGGAAAAAATATTTCTCCGGCAATTTAAGATAAATTTATCTCCGGCCACCCCAAAACTACGTCGTTTTGTTTATTTATTTCCTTATATTAATTGATTCACCTTTGAATGGTTATAATTCTCTTTTTCTTTCTCTTCTTTTATCACCATTTATCCATCTTTGTACTGGTGTGATCAGAGGCGGATCTAGGTTCAAGAGAAGGGGGGCAAGTGCCCACCCTTGAAATATGATACGAAAATACAAAAATACCCTTCTCTTAAAATTCAAGTTTTTCCAATTTAATTTTGGGGTACGATATTGTAACAATCAATTAGGGTTATTACCAATAATACTACCAATCAATTTCACCGTTAGGTCGATTATGTTGATCTAACGATTATATTTATTTTTATCTTTGTATGATTATGATTTTCCATATTTAATACTTTATATTTATTTTCACCTTTGTATGGTTATGATTTTCCATATTTAATGTTTTTACATTAAATATGGGGATCATAACCATATAAAGATAGAAATAAATATAACCGTTGGATCAACATAATCGATCTAACAGTGAAATTGATTGGTAGTAACCCTAGTTGGTTGTTACGATATCTTACCCCTTTAATTTCCCTCCTTCTATTTTATTTTCCCGTGAGTTTTTTTTTCTCCTCCATCTTCATTATCCAAACCTAACAGCAGAGAGCTCTATTCCAGACCCATCGTTTGCATTTACATACTGATTCATCTCCTCTCAAATCTCAATCTCCGTTATTGAAAGTTGGAATTATTTGCTTCTTCGTCCATCATAGGTCTAGTTGAGTCGCAATCCGTCCAGATCTAGATCTCAACCAGACCCAGCCAGCCGGCAGCTGCTCGCAAGTCGCGTTTCAGACCAGACCCAAATCTATATGTACTTGAAGTTATTGAGTGCTCACCCTTCATTAATTTCCTGAATTCGCCACTGGTTGTGATTTAGTAGCCGGAGATAAAATCATCTCAAGCAGCTTGGAAAACGATAAGTCATATATATATATATATCTACCAATGTTGACTTGTTTATTTTAGTTAATTAGTAATATTTCCGCTACAGCATACAGTTCAACATCAAAGCAAAACTGGGAAGGGTTATTAAAAAACAAAAAGCCGGCCAGTCCAGTTTTATATTGATTTTTATTTTGTTTTAATAATAAAACCAATAACTTCGTCTATATATTTAATGGAATCCATACAAATATTCTATATTTCTATTTCACTTTAGTTAGAGCTTTCTCTGTTTGGATTCTCCGTCACCAATCACAACCTTATACAATTTTAAAATACCACAATCCATGTAACCATTATTTGCACCACTATTATTCTACAAACCTAATCATGCACACACAACCCAACCAATTCAATAACTTATCATGAACCTAGCTCCAGCAGATAAATCCCTCTATGTTTATCAATAGGGTACTTCATAATTTGCACCCTTCCCACTTTCACACTAGAACTACACTGATGCAATTCTGCCACCATATATTGTAGCAAGTCATCATATTGATCAATTATACATATTTCCTTAAAAAAATTATCAGTTGATCGATTACTCGATTAATCTAATCGAAGGAAAAGATCACACAAATCTCTAAATTTAAGGCACCTACTCCTCCATCATGAGCCCTAGATTCAACAACTACCCATCATTTGTCACTGAGCCCAAGCCCGAGTCCGGGCCTGCTTCTTCCACCTCCGGTGATGATTCAAAAACTGAAGCATCATCACCCAAGAAAAGGTCTCAGCTTTTATGCTCTCTCTCTTTTTTTCTTCAATTTTTTTTTTTTTTTTTTTTTGGTTTTTTCAGTTGGGAAGTTAACGGTTGAGGGTTTGTGATAATATACATAGGAGGGGGATAAAGAAGAGGGTGGCGACTATACCGATCAATGGCGTGGATGGATCTAAGAGCAAAGGAGAGACATATCCACCGTCAGATTCATGGGCCTGGAGGAAGTACGGCCAGAAGCCCATCAAAGGGTCCCCTTATCCTAGGTACATATGGAAAATGGAACCTTTAAACCTCCTTTACCTTAATTGCTTTACTTAAGCCTCATTTTCGCGCTAAATAAATCATAATTAGCTTAATTTTGTCATTAAGAGAGAATTTATTTTAGATATTAATCAAACAATATTACAGGCCGTTGCCGCCGAAGTTGAAGGCGGCGATGTTAAAATGGCCTTGTGGTTGTGGCATTATCGCCGTTGTAAGGAACTTATTAGATGCGTTCATGATAATGACAAATGAGATAAAGAGTATAAAAATGTGGAACCAGAAGACCCTCGTTGTCTTTGATTCTTTTTTTTTTGTAAGAGAACTTTTTTTAATCGGTTTAGGAAATATGAAAATTTGATATAACTAGTTGCAAGCATTTATTCAAAAGTAATTAAATTTCCGGAATAAGAGAAGTTTATCTCATTGTTATTTAATTTATAGGATAGTGTTTTTCTCCTCATTCAATTATCCACAAAATCGTTATTTATTTGTGCAACATTACATAAACAAATTCATGCAATTATTTATGGGTTTGATTTTTGTCCTTATAAAGGATATAAAGTTGTATTATTTTAAATGAAAGAAAGACACAAACAATAAAAATCATGAAAAAAAAAGTGGGTATATTTTTAATTTAAATCTTAAACAAAAAAAAAGAATTTATATTTTTTTCTTATTTAAAATGACATAACTCTATATCCTTCAAAAGAATAAATATATTTCCCATTATTTATATTTTTGTGACAAGAGCATTATTAACTAGTGAGAAAAATAAAATAAGAAATGACAAGATTATTATTATTCATTTACCTATAAATAGTTAAAACCCTTTCATATAACATAGTTATGTATATAAATACTTGCTTTATATATCAAAAAAAGTGTACATGCAACAAATTTCAATGTTGAATCAACTGAATTTTTTTTTTACATTGAGTTATTTGTAAAAAAAAAAAATGGTTTTGGTTTACTAATTACATTTAGTAAATTAATTTCCGTAGTCAAATAATAATATAAGATTATTTACGTGAGCGTGTGAATATGCACGTGCAGGGCATACTATCGATGCAGCAGTTCAAAGGGGTGTCCCGCGAGGAAGCAAATTGAGAGAAGCCGTGTGGACCCCACTATGCTCATCGTCACCTACGCCTGCGATCACAACCACTCCCTCCCCGCCGCTAGGTCCCGCTCCACCACCGTAGATCCCGCCACTCCCTCCTCCTCAAGCGACGGTACTGTTACCACTGCCGCCGACTCCATCTCCGGGATCCTACAGGAGGAGCCCGAGGCTTCCGCGAGCCATCCCGATCTCGAACTCGCCGGCGACTCTGCGGTTTTGCTCGCCTACCACCACCACCGCAGCGAATTTGAATGGTTCGATGACTTGGCCTCCGCCGGGGTTCTGGAAAGTCCGATTTGCGGGGAGGCTGAGGAGGTGGCGGTGGCGGTGGCGATGAGGGAAGAAGACGAGTCTCTGTTCGCTGACCTCGGCGAGTTGCCGGAGTGTTCATCGGTTTTCCGGCGAGGGAACACGGTGAGGTCCAGCGCGATTCAGTGCGGTGGCACCGCAGGATAACGCAACCCTGCTGTAACTTTTTCTCTGTTCAATATTCAGCTCTGCGCATATATATTAATTCACCGCATGAAAATCTGGTGCATTTGAAAATTTGATATAGGGAAAATTAAATATTTATTTTACCATTCATGTTACCTTACTTTAGTAGTTCATTATTTAGCTTTTTTATTATTGTTATATTTTTAATGTAAATTACTATTAAAAAAATTTAAAAAAATAGAGGTTTTACATAAAAATGATTTTCTTTCCTCTTTTTTCAAAAAATAATTTTTTCCTTTGTAAATAAATAATTGAAGCCTGTACCATCATAACATAGAAGAAGGAAGAAGTTATACTAGAGTTAATGGAAACATTAGTGTTGCTTTCATAACTTTTGGACCAGATAATACGAGGAACTGAGCACACTAGTTAAACGGTTTATTTGTATTGTACCTTATATAAAAATTTATTCTTGCACTCAAAGGACGTGGAGATATGATGATAAATTAGAAATGAAAATTGGAAATAAGAGTCTATTTGATTGTGTTGTTGTTTTCTTTGTTCTTGAAACTATTTTGTACAATAGTTAATGAATTAAGTGTTTTATTTTATTTTATTTTATTTTATTTTAAAATTAAAAATCAAAACAGAAAACAAAAATAATTTAAATATGTTCTTCAAATTTGATTCTAAAAATTAAAAAATAAATTATAATTTTAAAATTTTTACAGAACAAAATTTATCAAACGGATTTTTTTTTCTTTTGAAAATAGAATTCAAACATATTGAAATGCTCTAGAAGTTTGTCAAATCATAAAAGTAAATATTATGTTGTGCTATTTTCAAATTTACATTTCATTTATGGACTAACAACCCATATGTTCACATGAATTACGTGGGCTAGTACACTGTACACCGAACACATTTAAATTTGAATATTTTTCACCTATTATTTAATCTATACGTTAGATGCCCAAAACACATTTACCTATAGTCGGTGCATTGGCTCATATTAATTTTAATTTTAAAGAGATTCTCAACCAGTAAAAATTTAATAATTCAACCCATTTTCTTAAATCAATTCATGTAGCTTGGGAGGGGTTAACCCGTCGCACCAACTGTATATTTTGTAAGGATGTTCGGATTGGATTCATAGGTCATATGGATGATGGATTTGGATTGAATCAAAGAGTTCGGGTTTCAATACGACACCACCTCCCACTGCTCGAGGTTTTACATTCAATACCCATAATTTCTGACTCCAGCCAATAAATAATACCATATTCCCAATGGAATGATTCACATTAGTCACCTTAAGCTATGTAATAACCTGTGGACAAGCTGAGGAATGCTAAAAACAGATTCTTTTCATACTCTCTATGATTGAGTAAAATCCTACATTGTCTTCATTAAATAACCTCAAATCACTCACTATTAACGGGACAAACATTTCTACAGAATTTATATGAAACAACACACAAAAACAAACAAAGGACAAGAGCTCCCCAAAAATGATTTAAACATAATATTGTACAACACATCATTAAAACAACATTAAAGAGAGAGCATTAACTATTACTATTTTTAAATTTCAAACCAGGCTAAAATATTTTGCTAAAATATGTCAACAAGCATTTTACAAGCTGGTCGTTCCCTTTTGCCTTAACATGTAACCATAGCTACTCAATTATCATGACAAGAAAGAAATAAACAAGCTTCAGAATAACTGGCAAAAGCTGTAACATAAGGCAGTCCACAAAAGCTATTAAAAAGTCATATGCGTCTTCCAAACCAATAAATTTGGATTCCTGTACTTCTTTAGGCCCCTTCTGCTAGAGTCCTCTTTGAGGTACTGATGTATAGAACTGTGTCAAAGAAAAGAAAATTCCAATTATTTCTAAAATCAAATACCAATTGGAATCAAGAATATTGTATTTCAAGCATTAGTACCATTATTCCCTCGGATGAATGCGTCACCATATTTGTTCTTCAGTTGCCCGTTGACATACTCCTCTGTCTGTTCCATTGCAATATTCATATACCCATCTAGACAAGCCAGGATACCTGCAACATTAACCAAAAGTAGTGAACCTATTTCATGCGCACATAGAAGCATAACATGACAAATACAAGTGAAAATGTGCACAACTAACACCAATATGCAATCTCAATGTAAAGCCATCAAATATGGACTTGGAAATAATTTGATGGTTGTAATTTCAACTGCTCTCCCTCGTTTACTCACTGTGATACTCAATTCCTTTTCAACTACTCTCTCATAGGGGGGAATTTTGGAAAAATATCATTAACAAAAATCTTCTCAACTATTTCATTCCTATGGAGTATGGATATTGGAGCCTTTGCCAGTTAGTTGACCAAGGTGCCTTTCATCCAAAGCAAAAAGTGCAACATGCATATCAATACTGCTTGAACCACTTATATAAACAACTCATTTCATTCATTCATATTAAAATGTTACATCGTTACTTAATTGAGTTCTGCTATCATCCATCTGTAAATAATGTAAATTAAAATATGCTGTCTATAAGAAAAGAAGCACCCAGCATTTGATATATCCAAAAAAAAAAAAGATAAGCATATGGTATCCTTTCTATGCTATAAATTTTGGCTGGTTCAATTTAAAGTTACACAGAATCTAAACCAATATTTGAGCTCAAAATCCAACACTAATCACAACTAGATTAAACAACTTTCTTTCTCATCCAATCAACCAAATCAGGTTTTCCATTAACAAAAGAAAGAAACTGTTAAAAGTGATAAATAGAGTGACCAACCTCGATAATCAACACCAGAATTGAGCTTCACAACAACTGGGCGGCCACGAATGGATTTGAGGAAATCTGCTGGGGTTTTCGTGGTTCCTGATCCTTTCTCTGCTCCACTCATTTTATCTCAACCCCAAACAAACACCTTAAATTTTCTCAAAAGAACAATACAAAGAACTTCCATTAATTACAAACACACGTATCCTTCATATGTTAACAATCTTGGTTCATCAAGCACAAAATAGATGTCCCGATTCAGGGGAAGGAAATTTATTAAGTTTAAGTGTTTGTCATTTTAAAGAACAAAACACTACGTCCTTTCAACTGAAAGGGCAGTGTTTTACTAAAAAAAACCCTTCCCTACAGAGTACAAAGGCCACATTGAAGTAAACAATAACAAGATTTCAACATCTCACAATGAAAAAATCAAAGCTTCAACGGAAACAAACTAGTTTAAACTTGTTTCTAATCATTCCAAAACTCCTCTATTTCATTGCTAAATCTAACAATTTTGTTCGAAGAAATTACGGTGCTTTGAAAAATGATCGGAAACGAAGAAGAGTGATTTTGCTTCGAAAAATGACGGTGACAGCGAAAAGGGACGTAAATTAGAGAATGGTCATTTTGTTGTTGCTAACGATTCTAACTTGAAGAGTTGTAATAACGGTGTGAATGGTAAAGAGAATGAGAGTTCCAGTATTGGGGCTTTTGATGTAAATAGGCTTCGGAAGCTTAGGGCAAAACGTAATACTTACAAACGGTTTCCGCTTAGCGCCGACGATGTCCGATGGTGTGGGGCTATGAGGTTGCGTCCGACACAGTGAGGAATGAGGTCGCCGGTGGCTATGCCGGAGGGAGAAGGGTTTTTGACTCAGGTGAAATTTGAAAATAGAGGAAACCCTAACAAGTAACGCAACCCGAACCCATCACTATATAACCCATGAATCCAACCCAGCTATCGTTAAAAAATTTACAATTGGCGGGTCCATCGAGCATTTTAGAGGGGTATTGGATTATGATTTTAAAAGATTTTTTTGAGATAAAAAATCTTACAGATTTTAAAAGATATTTTAGAATTGGTGACTTGAAAAAAAAAATTAAAAGACCTTTTTTACAATCAAGATTTCATAAGATTGAATTTTAAAGAATTTTAATAGAATTTATAAGATTTGAAAGGACAATTAGATTTATAAAATTTTAAAAAATCGTATGAATTTTTAACAAACATTCAAAATTACAAGAGTCAATAAAAAATAACAAAGAAATACAATGAAATTAATAAAAAAAAGTAAAACCTAATATAATTTTCTCAATCAGTAAAACATAATATAATTTTTAACAAACATTCAAAATTATTAAGCAACAACTCTTCATATATCTAAAGTTATATTAGTCCTCCATGCATTAACATTTTCTCGTTTATGCTCTTGGGTTTGACCAATGGGTTAAAAATTATCTTCTTCATTTAGTATCAAAGCTATGCATATATGATTATAAAACTCAATTTTTTTAATTACTAAAATAATTCTAATTTTGCATATAGAACTTAAAGTTCATGATAAATTTTTTTGTTTGGAATTTTTTGCAATTGATCTTGAAAATCTTGGGGTTTTTGTTCTATGTGATGAGAGTTTTCTAACCATATATAATATGCATATTTTCATTGAATAATCTAAGAAAATTTCAAATTTGAATTTTTGAATTTTATTATATGAAAGTTTAGAGAATTTCTCAAAAAAATTTCAATCGATACATTGAAACCTTAAATTGCTTTGGGGCTTTTGAAAAATAATTTTTTAGTTATCTATTGACAAACAATTGTTTGAAATCTTTCCTATAGTGAAGAAATTTCGTTCATGAATGTATTGTTACGAAATATAGGGTTAATATTATGAAAATCTTAATCTTTGTTTAAATTGGTATTGTTTGTTTCATTAATGTAAAATGAAAATTGATCTGAGGGTTTTAGTTCCCTATTATTTTTTCACTATTTTATATTACTTTTAGTACAAAAATCACATCTTTTTGTGCCAAGAAAAACTGTGACCCATAGCTTGAAAAATAACTTTTTAAACTTCCAAAATTTCTCAAAAATATGTTGTTTTCGAGATAGATTATATTAAAATCTCATTGATTTGTTGTTTATGGGTTTGTAATGAAAATCGCTCAATAATATGCTATTTTTGAGTTTTGATGAAGCTCCTATGGCGGAACTCGATTTCGAGCGGGTCAACATGCCAAAGGAAGAAGAAAACACTGCAGTAGAGAAATCTCAAGAAATCCTAAAGGTTAGGGTGAGATTGTGAAAGAGGTATCCTATTTATATTTTTCACTAAAAAGTCTCACGAAATTCACACCAATAGAAAATTCATTAAAATCGTTGAATTTTTGAATACCATGAGATTGTGATTCTATTATTTAAAACCCTGATTGAATATCAACGGATTTGGACGGATTCTAAAATAGTCTTTCAAAATTCTAATCGAATACCACATGACTTTTTTTCAATACCAACAGATTTTTTTGTTCAAATATAATCCATTAAAATCATTTGAAATCTCAATCCAATACACCCCCTTGTATTCATGCCACTACTTTTTTCTATTATTAATTCATTCTCATTTTTCTTTTGAAAAGTTTGATCAAATAATTGTTAGAGTAATAGTAAATTGATAGTAAAAAAAATGAATATCCTACCTCTAATAATAATAATAGATAATAATAGAAAAAAGTGGATGGCAAATGGCAATAGATTAAATTAGAAAAAAAGTAATATATGAATATCCTACCTTTAATAATAATAATAAGATATTGATGTTTCTCCGAAGATAAAATTATTTCTTGTAATCCAAAGTGATATGGTTTTATGATTAAAGATTTAATGATAAAGGGTATTTTAATAAAATTCATGATATAAAAAGAATGTTAATTTTTTTATATATACATAGAATGTTAAATTTTCAAAATACTTCTTATTTTTAATTTTAAAGCCCAAAACGATGTTGTTTTAGGGTTATAGGTAATAATTTTATCTTCTATCACAGAACAAACACTTTTCCTAGATACTAAAAGGGAAGATTTTTAAAGATCCTCATCCTCAGTTGATGGAACTTATAGTTGCTGATGCTAGAAATATGTCTAGCTTGTTAGTTTCTGATTTGTAATTTCTTTCTGTTTCTGGGGCTTAGCCCCTCTTTATTTACAAAAAAAAAAAAGGGGAAAAATATTATTCCCTCAAAAAGACGGTTATTTTAGTTAAAACTACTATTTATAATTTAATATTAAAATTAAAAAAAATCTCTCACTTTTTCTATTATGGTTTTTGTTTTTCTCACCATAAAACACAATAGTTTTGACTAAAATGACAGAATTTTATGTACTTTAAAAACATAAACACTATGCACTCGTTGTTCCAATAAGGGGTAGTCTTCCGGACTGTACTCTGAGAACAAGGTGACCGGAAGAAATTGTATGAGGATACCTCCAAATTATACCAAAAAATAAAACACTAATCCCAAACTAATAAGGTAAAAATGTGTTTTGGGCATTTTGATTTGTAAATTATATAACAGGTAAAAATATATTCAAATTTAAACAGGGCATTAAAATTTAAACCTTAAGTTTTGATTGATTGTCGCATGAATAAACCAAATAAAATTATGGGACTGTTTTTAAAGTTTGGTTTATATTGTGTTGGTCCGAATAGAAAGAATTCGAGATCCTTAAACACATGCTGCTGAATTTCATCCTATAATTTAGGTGAATATATATTTATAGGAACATGATCTTTTCATACTGGTATTAAAACTTGATGTCAAATCTTAACTGTTGATTTTTGTCAATCTAACGATTGTAATTTATTAGGAATTAATAATTAATTAATAAGTATGACCGAATAAGTAACGGCGTTGTTTTGGGTTCAAAATTTGCATTTGCGTTAAAAGTTTTTCATTTTATTTATTTATTATAATCTATTTATGTATTCATATTTCATTAAAGTAAAAGTGTTAAAATAGGTAACTTTAAATACTTGATAAAGTAATTGAGTTGGACAAACAAAATAGAAAAATGGAAACTTTGAACGCGAATGTTAATAAATGAAGGGAAACAAAATTATTAATTAATTAATAATAAATTTGGCCCATTAAGTGTGACCCAATAGATTATAACCGTTGATGAACAGAAATCAACAGTTAGGATCTAAAATGATATAAGATTATATCCTTTAAAATGCCAGATGTTATTTCCTATGTTAATATATGTTGTATATATAATCCATTGTCATATTTTTGTTTTTATAATACCATAATTTTTATTCTTTAATATTTACATGTTATTTCAATGAAGGTCAACATGGAAGATGATCCATTCGATTGTATTAACTTCAGTGACGATTGCATGTCGAATGAAATGGAATATAATGGAGTGGGAAATGACATGCATGATGAAATGGAAGATGACATATCGAATGATTTGCTTAATGATATGTCGAATGTCATTCCATTGTCACTGATAAAGAGTACTAATGTTTCCATTGAGGTTTGAATGGAATTTCCTGAACGAAAGGATGTAGTAGAATTATATACAGCATTTGGTAGCATAAGAGGTTTTGAAATCTGGGAACGAATGTCTACGTAAAGCTAACATGTATTAGAGGGGGTCATCCATAACTGAAAAAATAAGAAAATGAGGGTAAATTGTTTTAGACTAAATCAAGGAGAACATCATCATCATGTGACATCAAGCTTGTCTCAAGGCTTCCATAAATAAAAATACAAATACGTGGAGAATCATATATTTCATAGACAACTATAATCATGAGTTGCTTTCTCCAAAAAGTGTTTCATATCTGAGATCACACAAAAAAAATGCCTACTCCTGCAAAATGTTGATAGAAAAATTAAATCAGGCGGGTTTGCCTATTGAAAAGGTAGCCACCATCTTAAATATCATGATTTGGGGTTTGACAGTAGAGATTGTTATATTCATATGAAAAATATAAGGAGAAGGATATATGATGACGGAGATGCACAAGTGTGCTACATTATTGTATTAAACATCAATAACTGAATCCATATTTTTTTATTACATCAATTGAGATGGTGATGATCGTATGGTGAGGTTTTTCTAGATTGATGCAAGATCTAGACATGCTTATGAGCTATTTGGGGATGTGATAACATTTGACATGACATATAGGACTAATAAATATTATATGCCATTTGGACCATTTGTCGGTGTAAATAATCATATGCAATCGCTTCTACTCGGATGTACTATATTACAAGATGAAACTGAGGATACTTTTGTACGGCTATTTGAAGAGTGGCTACGGCCAATGAATGGGAAATATCCAGTTGTTGTAATTACGGACCAGGTATAATCAATTCGACAAACTCTATTTCGATGTTTCATATATTATCTCAAATATGATTATTTATTAGTAACTATACACTTACTCATGCCGTTGAATTCCAGGACATGACAATTAGCAATGCAGTCTCCAAAGTTTTTCCAAAGACCAAGCATCGATTTTGTGTGTGGCACATCATGAAAAAGTTTCTAGAGAAGTTATCTCATGTTTACCATGAGCACACGTCATTTAAGAAGCATTTAAATAGGTGTATATGGAGCTCTACGAGCACTCAATAATTTGAAAAAAGATGGCAAAATCTTCTTGTTCAGTGTGGTCTTGTTGGAAATGAGTAGTTGCATGTATTTTACTCAATTAGATCGTCATGGGTACCAATATTTAACAGATCTACTTTCTTTGATGGTATGAACACTACTTAGCACAATGAAAGTATAAATTCATTCTTTGATGGATTTGTTACGTCTGGAACAACGTTGAAGGTATTTGTGGAGAAATATAATCAAACAGTAAGTGCTCGCTACGAGTCATTCAAAAAAGAAGACTTTGAATCTAAGCATAAAGAAAGACTTTTGACATTTAATGTGCCATTGGAAGAGGTGATTCCCAAACCTAGAGAGAGACAGAGAAAGGATGGAAACCTAGAGAGAGAGGGGGGGAATGTGAGAGAAAAAATTAGAATCATAAGGAATAATTATGAGTCGTTAGATTTAATTCTAATCTAACAGTTATGAGATTAGTGTTAAAGGTGGTAAACTTACGTGATGGTGAGTATAGCCCTCCCCATAAATAGAATGGAAACTTTGAATCTCAAATGACGTAGTTTTTAGGTGAAACATAATGTTAGATCATATGACATAACAAACAATATTATATATATATATATATATATATATATATATAGGAGTAGGCACAATAGCCTATCATAACAAACAATATTATATATATATATATATATATATATTATGTGTTTAAATTTTTTCATGTCATAGAAAATAAAATTATTTCCTTAACACACATAAAAATCTATAAAGCTCATATGGGCCATATGAGAAAAAAAAGAAGAGAAAAACTAAATTCTACATATTTTTACGTGTATGCAAAAAATAATTTTATCTTCTGTAACATGAGAAACTTTAAACCCTATTATTATACCGGTATAAAAGTGTGTACGTACACGTTAAGCTTATTTTTCGCTGTTGAATAACAATTTTGTGAAGTTTGAAACTTAAAATCGATTTCAATTAGTAGGGAACAAAAATATATTTTAACTTAATTCCATAATCTAGAAATTTGTAACATTTAAAAAAGAAAACAGCTATACAAAGTTCAGTGAAGATGTACAATATATCTATCTAAACCACTTAGGTGGTGTTTGGCAAGCCTCTTTTTCCAATTTTCCTTGGCATGTGGAGTGTGGATTCCAAAAAAGACATGTTTGGTTAGATGGATTCAGATAAAAAAACTAGTGATCCAAAATGCATGGGTTTTGAGAAATTGTTAGGAAAAAGACGCTTTGTCCACTGTTTGGAAAGCTGTTTCGTATGTAATTTTTTGAAAAACCACGGCTAAAGCAAATTTTGTGTAACCAATATACCCTTGTGTAGAAGCAAATTTGACAGCTATGCTCTTTTTTCACATTTTAAAATCAGGGTTATTTTAGTAATTTAACATTGTTTTCCCATCTATATCTCACCTCCAACCAAACATACATACCCTAAAATTTACCTAATTTTTCCAAAGTTTTTCCCCACCAAATAACTCTTTTTTACATTTTCCTATATATCTCACTTTCTTACCATTTCCCTATCAATTCTATTTTCCTAGATTTCAAAAAAATTCTCCTCAACCAAACGCCACGAATTGCTTATAAGCCGATAGCAGCAAGAGATACAAGGAAATAGTACAATAAGGTTTAACGTACATATTCACCACAATTTACTTGAAATCTACTATCATACCATTCTTGTCTCAATAAAACTTTAGCCATGAAAACACTAGAGATATATAAAGAATCATAACCATCATGACACTGAATTTTCATTCTAATGCTGACCATGTTTATAGTTTCATCACGGAAAGGAATCATTATGCTCTAACTAACATTCTTAAAAAGCTAATCACTAATCAGACACTTCTATCCTCTAAGATGTAATTCAAACATAAAAGTAAACCCATTTGCACCATACTTGTTTCAAATGTCTTTGGAATTTAGGCAAACAAAAGACTTGTTTTAAATGTTTTAAGAAACATAAATCCTGCATATGGAAGCATGTAAACATTTTGCAAACAATATGTAAGACTAGCCTTATTCTACAGAATTATATCACCAATCACATGTGAACCATTTACAAATTGACACAGGCTCTATGAAAACCACCTTGCCACAGATAAAGCATCTAATTTGAGCAGCATCCAAATCTCTTCAAAACTGAAGAATCCTCTCTCACATTTATTGTCTGTCCTTGAGATGGGACAGCTGAAGAACTAGCATTTTCACCAGCTTCAACTGCTCTTCTGCTCACTATGCGGTATATCTGAGTAAGAACCTCAGTGAATGCATTTTCAACATTGGTTGCTTCCAAAGCAGAAGTTTCCATGAAGTAGAGAGACTCCCTCTCTGCAAAAGATTTTCCATCTTCTGTTGAGACAGCAACAAGGTGTCGCAGATCTGATTTATTTCCAATAAGCATGACCACAATGTTGGGGTCTGTGTGATCCCTTAACTCCCTCAACCACCTACTAGTAGTCTCAAATGTTGCACTGCGTGTTACATCATACACAAGCAAGGCACCAACAGCTCCTCGGTAGTAAGCACTAGTAATAGCACGGTACCTATTACAGAAACACACAATTTGAGTGACTGGGTGTAGTAGCTTACACCATAATAAAGACACTTATACAACCATTTCTGTGTGGTATTACTTTATAAGGGCAAACCTAGATGCACAGGATTCCCTGACTTGCAAAGATAGAGGTGAGGGTCAATTGTACACAATCTTATCCTTATATTTTTGCAAAATGGTTGTTTTGCATACTCGACCCTGTGACCTTTTGGTCACAAGGAGGTTGACCTTACTGCTGCTCCAAAGCCCACCCTCAGTGAGGTATTATTATACTTTTGAATAAATTGAATCATAAATTAGCCAGTCAATTTTGATAGAATTGAATATCCACACAGATGCAAGAGACAATCAGACTTGTGTATCTACAAAAAAACTTTTCTTTTCTATTCTTGCTTTCTTGCTCTTTCTCTTTTTCTCTTGATCTACAATTCATACAAACTATCAAAGGCTATTTATAAGCTATAAAACTGACCAACATAACTCCACACATAACACCCTCATTACTTTATAACTGACATAACTGACTCATTAATATTCTAACTGACATAACTTCAAACTCATTAATGTCCACTAACACAAACCTAAGGACATGACTCTTCACCAGAAAACTCTTCACATTTCTATTTTCTATTTTCTATTTTATCTCATTAAAATTTAACCCAACAAATTTCATCATTGACATGTCATTAAATAGAATGGTGTCATTTCTGTTTCCTAAATAGAATTTATGGGGGGAATTGGAGCACAAGGAAAGATGCCTTCAAGCTGCTCATATACAAGGTTTGCACAGTGAACTTCCACAGACAAAGTAGCTTGAGAGGCTATGCTTATCATTCAAATAATTAATCACCTACAAGGGAAATATATATGGACATGTTAAAGGAATTCAGAAATTTTTTAAAATCATTAACCTACTACGCATTTCTGATATGGTACATTATTACCTATTGTAGATTGCCACTTTTGAGTAGTGTGCATACACTTAATACAACAATTATTAAGGTATATTAATGTACATAATTTTTTTTCTTGTAGATAGTTGATCCACAAAACCCTTTAGATTTCAAGTGATAAATGCTTTTACTCATGCACATGGCGGAAGGGGATGGGTGAAGGCGGGATTTGATCCCAGATCCTTGTAAACCACTGCAAATAACTTTACCAGCTAAGCTAGCTGGTACCTTCAAATTTACATAATTTAATTAACAGTTATTCAAAATGAAAAGAGCATACACCAAAAGCAACTAATTAAAAGTAGAAAAACTAAAAGCCTTGCTTCTACTGACTTCAATTTTATGCCAATCTTTGCTTTCACCTCATTACCAGTTCTCCAGTTGTTGACTAGCTTATTTCAAGAATAAAGAAACAAACATAAAACAAAAAGTAAAAGCTAAGCCAAATATGTAAAGCAGAGACAAGAAAAATGTCAAAGACCTATGGAATACAGCTATAATGGTAATCACTCTCTTATCATACTTATTTCATCCTCGATCCTTTTTCTTGTAGGCACTAGGCCATTAGAGTATGCTACTTCACATATTAGACCAACCTCAGCATAATATAGTTTGGCTGAAACAATATGGCTATCATTGAATAGATGTGAATATCATTAGAACCAGATGGAGAGCCAACTATCTTCTTCATTTTGTTTTTTCTCTTTCCATGATATCATATCACTGATTTTAGAGGATGGCAATTCAATTTAGGAATCTCCAATTCATTAGTGGGAGTCAGTGCCACTAGAGTGAGCAGCACCTACCCTCTATCCTCCACTTATCTGTTAAGCGTATCATACATATAGATAAATATTCTGATAGTATACACATAAAACAATTAATTATCAGCATCCAAGTCATATCCACGCCAAGTAGGTATTAAACATCTGTACAGTGGAAGATATAGCTGGTAAAGATAAGATTTGCAAGATTCACATGCACATTTGAAACCAGCTGAAATGTTGTGAAGGCAATCAAAATATACTCCATCTGGAGATTTTATGTAACTCAATTGAGAGTTTATCCTAGGAAACAATCCCAGAAGAGGCAAGACTGTGAATAATGCTGAAATACCTTGGTGGAAGTGGAAGTTTCTCTAAGGAAAAAAGTGTTAAAAGAAGACTAAGTTTGGCATAAATAACTACTAACTTCTTTGCACTAAACAAGATTTCATTTCCATAAAGAAGTCAATAAAATGGATTCCCAATGAGACATGTGAGACTTCATCTTTCCAGCAAGACAGTATTTTTGGCTTTACAATGTGTGACAGTACAATATCAATCTATAGAAACTTTTAAGTAGTCTGTCTGAGTTTTCTTTCACAAACATGTTAGGGCATAAAATTTACATGACAGTATGACTCAATAACAGATCAAATATGCTATTGTTCCAGTGTAGGATATATCCCTTCATGACCTTACACACCCATCCAAAAACTGTATCAGGCTATCAGAACTTTCATTGCATGTAATGATACTTACGTCAACGTCAACGTCAACGTCAACAACACCTTTATCCCAAATTAATTGGGGTCGGTGGTAGATGAACCCACAAGAAAGATACAAAACGATTAAAAAAAATAAAATAAAATAAAATAAAAAATAAAAATAAAAATAAATAAATAAATAAATAAAAATACACAAATTAAATAAAATAAAAATATATGTATATATAAATAAATAAAAGTAAAAAAGAAAGGGACAAGAAGAAGTAGGGGAAATGAAGGGGAAAAGGACTAAAAAGAGACCATCTGATTATGTTCAGCCTTGTACTGACCTTATTATGTTGTGATACTAATAGCAAGTTAGCAACTGTGCCTTTTTCCAGTTGTACTGCAACAATGATAAGTTTCAAATTATATGTGGATGATGGCCATACTCTCAATGAAAATGGTAAAATGAAAAGGTTTAGTGGACACTTTTCCCTCTACAGATTTTTATGTTTCGGAGAGGTTAACATGTGCAAAAAATCCAAAAGCCTGAAGTGATGAAGTTCCCAAGGGACTATCCTCATCAAATTGATTTCATAATATTCAACACCATCTGTATTTGTATTAGGCACAAACAGATAATCAAACTCCACAGAACATACCAAATCAGAACCTTGCAGCCAGAAGAACACTATCTCCAGAATAACCCCGACCTCAACTTAACAATCACCAAGCAAATCACTAGATCAAGATCCACGTTAAAATATCTATGAGAAACCAAAAATGTTTCCATGGTACCAGCAATCAAAGGGTCCATTGGCACAAGTAATACGCTGACCAATGCAATAATATTAAAAATGTAGAAGTTTAGGTAAGTCCTTTTCTAGATTTTCTTATTCCTTGATCCTTCATTCCTTCTTGTATTTTTTTAACTTATAACTAGCAAACCCGAGAGGGGAAGAGAGACAGAGTAGATTAGGCAAATTAGAAGGAAATGAGAAAGATATTATTTTGTTTCAGACTTCAGAGTCAAAGTTTCAGTGCCAACATGCTAGAATACACTCCAAGGTTTGCCATGAGAACAAATCAAAATGAACATTTGACCTAATAAGAAAAAAAGAGAACTGAATATTGACTCAGATTTCCAATTCCAGAGGAGCATCTGAAGCTAAAACTGATATTCAGCAAATGGTACGGAAAAGTTGTTGAAGAAGTGAGAGACCATGAAAGTATTAAATTTAAGATATATACCATCCACTCCAAATAGTTGAAAGGACTAAAGATGTGATTTTGCATGTTTTGACCTTAGTGAACAAATAATTATTATCATGCTTTTAACTTTTGATCATAATTTCGCAAAAAATTCTCTCTAATGTGTAGTCTATAGAAAATGCTGAAGTATACAAATCAATCCATGTGACTTACAAGTGTCTGCTTAAATCCAAGTTTTCTACCTTTGCATTAACACCCAGTACTAAACAGCAAAATTAGCTTAAATAACATCTCAAATAGGCTTATTTACTACACAGAGGTCAAGCAATTTTAAATGATTAAATTGAAAATAAGAATGGGGTAAGTTTAGACTACTAAAGAATGACACCCCATTATGGAGGCAAGCTTCATAAGTCTACAAAATTTAGTTTATACATCATAAAATACCAAGGTAATCATCATTACACAGTAGTGTCTTATATCAATACTAAACTCAAATAAACAGTAACTCGTTTTTAAAAAGAAAACAACTATACTTCGCTATGCCACTGGAACCTAGTTAACCATACATAAAAAGAGAAGTAACATTCTTAAAATCATCGAGAACTATCCAAACAGACTCCTGTTCCTTTTATTGACAAAAAAGCACAAATAATATAACAGGCTCCTGTTTCTTTTATTGACAAAAAAGCATAAATAATATTCATGTCATTCCCAACTTAAAAGTATTTCACATCTGACTCAATATTCATCAAAATCAAACCAAATAATCACACTTTCCAATACTAAAACAACAAGGGTTTTTAAGAAACAATCACAGTCACAGCTCAAATCAAAATTAAAAAGAGAAAAATAAAATATTTCTTCAAAAAGTCAAATACCCATGATTTTCCAGAAAGACAAATCAATCAAAATTAAGAAAGAAGAGACCTTTCCTGCCCAGCAGTGTCCCAAATCTGAGCCTTGATGACTTTCCCATCAATATTCAAACTTTTTGTTGCAAACTCCACCCCTATGGTGGATTTGGACTCCAAGTTGAACTCGTTCCTCGTGAACCTTGAAAGCAAGTTCGATTTTCCCACCCCAGAATCACCAATCAGAACCAGCTTGAAGAGGTAATCGTACTCATCATCAGCTTTGTACCCAGCCATGTTTCTATCCCTTCCTTCACAACTTTGTCTCTCACAAGTTCAAAAAAGTTGGTGACCAAAGAGACAGAGAAAGGGAGAAGAAGGATCTTAGTTTGTGCTTTGGTGGTGGTGCTGTGAACAGCACCTTTTAGTTTAAACTATTCCAAAGTTTTGTGAGAGAGAGTAAATAAAACGAGGGATTTTTTTGTTGGTAAATTGGAATTTTTTTGGATACAGTAACGGGTGAATTATACGAAATAGAATACGATACTGCAACAAATCAATTAGTGTTACTCTCAATTAATTTTACTGTTAGATTGATTATATTGATCCAACGGTTATATTTATTTACATCTTTGTATGATTATGATTCTACATATTTTTAATATTTTATATTTATTTTCACCTTTATATGGTTATGATTTTCTATATTTAATATTTTCATATTAAATATAAAGAATCATAATCATACAAAGATGCAAATAAATATAGCCGTTGGATCAATATAATTGATCTAACGGTGAAATTGATTAGTAGTAACAGTAATTGATTGGTACTGTATCTTTCCCTTAATTATATTTGTAATTTTGTTAGAAACAAAAAAAAGTAGTGTTAAGCATAAGTTTGGGGGTATTAAAAGAGTTCGGCTCGTGTAGGTCTAGTTTGATTTGTGTATTTTAGATTTTTAGTTGTTGGATTCAGATTAGACTTGTATAAAAATTTATTTAATAAAAAAGCTTAGACTTCAATTCAAAAGTATGGTCTTAAGGGCTTGTTTGGAGTACATGATAAAGAAGATAAGATAAGATAACTTATCATATCCTACTTTTATCTCTTTTTTGATGGGTCAATAGAATATGATTAGCTTATCTTATTGTCTTATTTTATCCTATCCAATACATGATTTCTTATCCTATGGGGGAGCTGGGTTATGATTCAATAGGATAGGATACCAATATTGGATACCCAATATATCCCCACGCTACCCAGTATATTTGCATTTATTGCATTATATTTTGTTTTTTTTTCTTCTTTCTCCTCCTACATAATCTTATCAGATTGCTAATCAAGTGCTCATCAAACACAGGACATGATATAGGCTTATCAGCCCCATATCATATCTACCCTTATCTTATCATGTCCACCAAACGAACCCTAAAGCGCATCAAGATGGCCTACTAACTCTCTCTTTTTTTATATTTTTTATACTAACTTAATTTTCACTACTAACTCAAGTCATCGATCAACATCGTCTTATTTACAAGGGTCAGATCCTCAAGAACGATCAAACCCTCCAAAGCTATGATGTATGCACGATCTTGTTAACTCTGATAGGCGATTTAATGTTTTTCGATTCCTATTTTGTTGGTGCACAATCACTACTAGAAAAAATCTCTATAGCGACGGAATTGCTATGAAAATTCTGTCGCTAATTTCATCCTCTATACTACTTTCCGTCGCAAATTTTCTCGCAAAATCGTTTGCGAGGGAATTTGTGACGGAAAGTAGTAGCGAGGATGAAATTAGCGACGGAATTTCCATAGCAATTCCGTCGCTATACAAGTTTTTTCTAGTAGTGAATCTTGTTATTATTATATGAATTTTTGTGGAATTATTAGTGTTGTTGATTGTATATTTTGTTTGAATAAATTTTTGTTATCTTATCTTTTTTTAACAGGCTAAGCCAGACTTTTATTTTTTGTAAATAAATTAAGTCACATGTCGATAATTATATTCATAACAGTTACAGGCTAGGCCAGTCTGACATATTTAAACACAAACTTAATTTTTTAAGACCAAAATCTAACTCGACTCAGTCCGTTAACACCCCTAAGCATAAGGAGAAAGAGAATGGTTCACTAAAGTAAGGATGTGTATATTATACTTTAGATTTTATTAAAATTTTAATGATGGGTATATTCTTAAGGACAATTTGACAACTTTTACAACTAGTTTAGAATTATTTAAGATAGACTATATAAATTTAAGTTATTCTAAAACTAATTTTAAGTTAAAATAAATAGAGTTAAAATTAGTTTTAAAATATTAATTATATTCTCTATTTTTAAATTTATTTGAATATAAAAAAATCAGTATGTTTATTGACTATTAGATAAATGAATGGCCTCTATAATTATATTTTATTCTATAATTAACTTTAAATTTAGCTGAAAGAGAGAGAGAATAAAAAATAAAAAGAAAGAGAAAAGAAACTAAGGTGACAAATAATTAAAGTTAATTGACAACAAATGCTACGGCATCTAAAGCAACAAAGCACCATGACAACTCCTAACCCTGGACGGAATAGAAGAGAGACATCAACTGGAATGGAAAATGAAGAAAGTTAGAAAGACTAATATGGTTTTTTAGGTTTTGCCTAAGACTTTAATTAATAATATTATCATAATATATGGTAATATAAGATAAAAATTAAGAAAAATTACAAACTTCACATATATATATATATAGGGTTTATCATCTATCATTAACATGACCACAAAAAATTTTCTACACACACAACATTTTGTGGGGCCCGCAGCAAAAAAAAAAAAACTTTGGCTCGTAAAACGAATCTCTATAACATAACACAATCACTTTTCCTACAACATAACTCTTATAAAATCCATATATATATAGGGGGATTGACCATCGTGCCCCTATTTTTAAAGCAATTTATTATTTTGTTCCTCTTTTTAAACTATATATTAATTTTGAGGTAAGATTCTTTGACACCAGTGTCAAATTTGAAATTTGATACCTCACTTGAGAGCCATTAGATAAAAAAAATCAATGGTGTCACATGCTTACAAATCAGAGCCATTGATTTTTTTTTATCTAATGACTCTCAAGTGAGGTGTCAAATTTTAAATTTGACACTAGTGTTAAAAGATCCTACCTCAAAATTAATATATAGTTTAAAAAGAGGAACAAAATAATAAATTGCTTTAAAAATAGTGGCACGATGGTCAATCCCCCTATATATATATACAATTTGTCCCATTGACCAAGTCATTGTCTGACAGTTATTAGCTCAGTTACCAGAGCATTTGTTGCTCAGAGGCTTATGATTAGGGTTTCACCTATATTTTTTTCCTCCACGATTTTTATCACAAATTCCCACTCATTTTTTTATCTTCTTTCTAGCCTAACAATTTAACTCACTCTATCATCCCAAACCTTCACCTTTATCAAATTATTGTTATTACCCTTAGATTTTTGAATTTTTGTGCAAAAATCCGAACCTATCTCCAAACCCTAATCCATGGCAAAGATGAGCTCAAGTTCCCAAATATATGTTGCAATCGTCTACCTACCGCAACAATAGGCAATTTGAAGATCACAGTGATCTAATTTTTGAAGATCAAGGAAAAATAATGTAAATCAAATGTAGCACTAGATACAACGATCCCAAGAGAAAATTCATCAAAAATTGGGCTCCAAGGCATCCAATACGTTTTTCGCTTGATAGCCAAGTACGAAACTTCCAATAGGTGCTACCTTAGTAATGATGTTAAAACGATGAAGATATGGAATGTATACGAAAGCGCGAGCTTCTTAGCAGCATGCTGCATAATGCAGCAAATGTAATGTCTCCGGCTGACTTGCACATTATGTCGTATTGCCCACGTCACAACCAGGTCAGTCTCTAGCACCTTCTTGTGATTATGAAATCATGGGAATATAATACGGGTCATGATATAGAACAACATGCGTACACAGTGGCAGAGCCACGATTTTTTCTTGTGAGGGCGAAAAGTCAAATATTTGTTCCTCTCTCCGACCATAATCTGAGTTATACACAATGATTAAAACAATCACTTAAATTTAAAAGAATTTTGTATTGAACACTTAATTTAAGAATAAAGTTCATCTTTAAATGATGCAGCTTATAATTCTACGCTTTAAAAAAATACATTCAAGTAATGGTTTTACACATTTCGGTTTGCAAGACTCTTCAAGATATCTCTTCTAATCAACAGGTTCCTCGTCAGCCCTAAATTCATGATAAAATCCAAAGATGAATGAAAAGCAATATATAGGACAAGAACGCCAAAAAAAGGACAATAAAATTGATACATATGAGCAAAAGAACTCGGCAGAAGCTATTGACACCATAATTATATAGGACCAAAATAAAACCAACCAAGTTCTCAAGATATATATGCAAGTTTTTGCATACGCAGGCATACTAATCATATGACACAACACAACAATTATCAATGGTAGCAAAATTTCAAAACCCTAAATAAGAAAAACAGAGTCATAAGGAGTGCTTCTACATTGAAATCAAAGATAAATGATTGATCTGACAAATGAGAAATAGAAAAAAAAGATAAGTTATGAGGTGAACATTGCAGAGCACGGAGAAAGGTTGCAAAGCAGGTTGGAGGATTGGTGACTCACTGTGGTTGGAGTCGATGATCCACCCTCTTGCACAGCCACTTTGGCCATCTCAGCAAGCTTTCTCACCTTCTTCCTTGCTTCTCTCCCTTTCTCTTCTTCCATCAACTCGTGATGCCCTTCTTCCAACTACCTATTTTTTTCTTCAAATTTTAGGGGTGACGGCCCACCCTAGCCCCTTGAATCCTCTCTTGTGCACGCATCCACAATAAGTTGTTGAGATATATAGTCACACATTGGTTGTATGTGCAACTAATGTGAAGTTTATAAGGCCTTGGGCACTCCCACTCTTCTCTTTGAGCTAGCTTTTGGGATGGTGTATCCCAAGTTTTACTTTCTCTTGTGACGTTTCTCAGCACAGTAGGCTGGGCCTGTTGCATTGTTCACTCTTCAAGCCCAATGGGCTCTCGTGCGAGGGGGCGTGTTGAGGTATATAGTCCCCACATTGATTATATGTGCAACTAACGTAGCCTTCATGAACACTCTCACTCTTTGAGCTAGTTTTTGGATGGTGTATCCCAACTTTTTTTACGTAAACAAACCCACATCAAATTATGTGTTTTGTGCAAGCCTAACATCACACCTCTTTGCCTTAAGCACAATATCAGCATGCTTATAACCTTCAATAGTGGTATAACACTCCCGTCATAAGTGGCAATAGCATCATCAGCATCAAAATCTAAACCCATAAATTTCATCCACATCTCAACAATCAGCAAAATATTAATGCTGCATATTGTGCATGTCAGGTCTCCAG